CGCACGACCAGACACTTGGAAAAGCGAATCAAGGAACATTTACCAACGTCACTCGCCACCCAACGAGAAAAAACTCAGTTGAGTGCCATAACCAACCATCTGATCTGCACCAATCATCTGATTGATAAGCGCAAGTCTTTTGAGATCCTCTATCGAGTTCCATCACTGCTACACCATCGGTCAGGAGCTCGGCTACTCGCTACCGCTGAAGCAGTATGCATCAGGTTGACAAAACCAAACCTATGCATTCAGAAGCAACATGTACAAGCCTTACAACTACCCTGGCCAGCCAGTAATAAAGATGAATCGGACCTCACTCAGTGGTATCACATGCCTTCAGTCACCTGACCACATGACACGTTACGTTAAGCATTTAAAAAGTTTTGTTCAATCAATAGTTACTCTCTGTTTTCCCCTATGAACTCCGCTTCTCAACGTATATTTCTGTACCAAGCCTGATGATGAATAAATCGAAAACAATTGTTCGCTTTAAGCGTACCGCTTGCGTTTCTTCTTACATTATATGATCTGTGTTGCTTGTCCCAGGGACGTATGCGTCAGTAAGACACTCGGAGACAATACCAGTGCACTGGTTTAAAATGAGGCGCACCATCTGCTTTGTTGGGTTGAGTACGCTTGAAAACAGTTCAATTAGTCCCCTTCTCGTGCGGTTCTTCCTCCTCACGTGCTTTAGTCCGAACAGTTGCTGGTTAGTCTAGTGTCTCCATCTTAGATCGAGGTCCGGAACGTGATCTTTATGACTACGGACAGCCGATGCGGGGTTGATAAAGTTGTTGGCCTCAATTCTCGATCTTAACCTTACTGCGGAAAGGGAAGCTTAGAATGAGAGAAGAGCAAGACAGTCTCCATTTAGGACAGCTGTGTGGACCACTCTGTAGCAGATATTAACACAGCATCACAGTGCCACATATCTACGTTGTTTTCATTCCTACGTTTTTGAAATGCGTCCGACTAAGTTTGTCGCTTCATCTTCGATATTTGCTCGGAAGGGTGTTCTAACCGTACACGTGCCCTATACACGGACATTACGGGTCATATCAAGGTCTACGACGATTTACCGGACACATTTACTACATCAACTGGCTTCCATCGTGGTTGCCCCATTTGTCAGTTTTGCTGAGCCATATCATGAGGTGTTGCCTCACTGAATCTTATAATCCCGTGGCGGAGCTGTACGCTATCGGGAGCGCCCCCAGCTTGCAGAATGAGGAATGCCTTCCATGTGGAGGTAACTGCGAATCTCCTTTACCTTGCAGGCGGGATGAATAAACAGTCGCGGACAATCAGCGGCAGCGTCTCAGAGCATTGGGGTTCTGGTCTGGTCACCACAAGATCTTGGACGGCGCTGTGTCAAAGCCAGTGTGACCGACTATAGGGTCACTAACCACTCAATACTGCAACCAGAGGTGAGTACCTAACGGAGGGCGGATGAGCAACCTTGCTGGCCATCGGCTTCTCTGTAAACTGCTACCGAACACAAAGAAGGCGTATGAGCTACTCGGCTGTCAACGGTCTCCGTTAAGCGCCCCGCTGCTTTGTGCGTCAGGTCTTTATGGCCAAAGGCTCGGGGTGCGGTCCATTAAGTAAACCCTCTTCCTCGACCTAAGCAACGGGGAATATCTCTGCCCACGCAACAAATGAACCTTCCACTGACTACATGTGCTCTCCTTTTGTTGTTGCTATGTGTTGTGGCACTGCCAATAGTGCATTAGTCAAGTGTTGTATAAGTATAAATCTCATAATTTAACGATTGAAATTCCATCTCATGGAAGATTGGCTGATGATCTGACTTATCCAAAAACTATCATCTTTCTGTCTTATACTTGTGAGTTAGCACAATCAAACCTCGTTCATACTCGCAACAGTGATCCCATCCATTATCATTCGCTTCTCGCCAATACACTTCTGTTGCAGGACCACTGAGCTCCTGACAATAAACTACTGGAGATGGTAGATCAACTCACTACTTTTTATTACTGCATTGGCGCTCATGCCCACTGGCCGGATCACGTATTGCCATGTTTGGGACAGTATTTTTGGAGATGTGATCTCGGTGATACCAAAAAAGGGTTTCTATCGGATTGAAAGGCGGCGTGCGCAAAACTACGCTAAGGGTTGTTCTCTTCTTTGGGACTGTAACTTGTCCCTTTCTACCTGAGGATCTGCGGTACTTTCAAGTATGTGTACATCGTTGTCTGCGATGCATAGCTGGTGTCGAATGGCATCAGCGTGTTCGTAACAATATCGTGCGTAGGCGAGTGTACTAGGCCGGGATAATCATGGTAATTATTTTGCACAGCAAATAGCATTAAATAAGTCGCGTTGGCTTGACCATGTGCTGCATGTTCCATGTCATTGATTACCGAGGAGACCCTTGTTTCAATTGTTGTATGTTGGATGGCGCTAGGTTCAAGGTGGTCGAAAGTTGACTTCGCAGCGGAAAATGAAGCTACTGTTTACTAGATTTGGTGCTGTTAATTCGTTCTGCTTTCCAGGCCAAAGTCGACACACGGAGTAACCACACACTTTTCAATAAATAACCCTTTTGTTACTATGCAGTTAGTAAACATTGGCTTCTTTTGGATAGCTGACACATCATCTCACTTGACTGTCTCTGAGGTGCGTTCTGAACTGCAACAGACAACTGCTGCACTTTTATGCAGATCTCTCCATTTCTTTGTCTCAGGGGTGCAAATCTTGTGGGTTCGACGAAAAAGTGTATTTACTGTATCATGCGGGATCTCTTAAAATGTTGTTACTGGTTTGTCCGGGTTTTCTCCCAGTAAACCGACCTCTTTCCCGAACTATCCGGTTACCAAGTGATCAGCATGTCTGAATGCAAGAAGAAAATGTACTTAATGTCGTGTGTTCCCATTAGGATTCATGATTAATAGTTTAAAGATGGGCATCAGCAGTGCGCCGGCACGCAGTACTGATGCTTCGCTGCTCCGCAACCATCGCCAGTTGTACGTGGGTTAAGGATATGCCATGGTCGCCTGGTTGCTACACAGGATCGAACCCGCGCCCTCGGATTACAAGGTAGGCTTGTGATCCTTAAGACCACGGGATGGCGATTAATGGTATATCATCAACATTACGCTTGTATAAACTCATTGGTGCCATCTACCTTCTCTTCAATCATGCGCATGAGTCTGTCTGTCAACGACACACATAGTTGACTTTCTGTCATCACACCGTCTGCCTGTCGGGATGCTTCTCTTTGAATGTAAAGCCAATTTTGCATCCATTTTAGTGTGTGCCTCAACATTTTCATAGGAAGTTGCAGTTGAACACTATGCTTTGAGCTTACCTCGCAAAGATTGTCAACCGTCTTCATCAACGAGATGTTGGCGAGGAGGGTGACTATGCATCAAACGAACGCATCCGCTTCCGGATCGCATTTATGCCTTCCCAACGGAGGAGTGTTGGCCAGTGGCCGAAAGGATTGCACGCTTGCGTTGTAATCCAGTGGTCACAGGTTCCAATCCTCTCAGGTTCATGTAATCTCGCGGTATACCCGTCTTTTGCGCTGCTGGCGTGGCAACAAAGCATCGGTGCGGTATGCTTGTGTACTGCTGATGGCTTTCTTTATCCGAAAAGTTCGGTATTGCCCGCGTGCAATGCTGCGCTCCGCGACCGTTTTTGAACTTAATTTTTACTCGTCAGACATAGTAGCTCTATTGTAGCAAGAAGGAAGCGGCAAGAAAGTACAATCATTCTTGCACTCGACCACACTTTTCACTAGTTGCGTGCACTTATCGACTCTCTTTCCATCCCACAACACATCATACTTGGGGAAGCACAACGTATCACGTTTATGCCTTGTTGGCCTGCATTTTTGAGGGCCCTGGCTGCCTGTCTGACACCGTAGCTTTGCTTTCGTAGCTCGCATTCTCACCAGACTGGATTTGTTCTAATGCTGTTGATTTCCTTAGTCTCAGTTGCGTTATTCGGCTTGGGTTTACTCCCGGATGTAGCGACAAAGATGTTTGTCTGATTCATTGGCCTATCGATAAATCCCTTTTCTGTACTCTCTGGTTCAGGCCCGTTCCGGTTCGTTGCTCGCGTTCCGCTCTCTGCTCGCATTTTTGGGATGGGGTTTCACCGTCCGTATTCATCCATGATGTCTGCGCCCGTTTCAGTCCTCGCTCGTTCTACTACCTTTTCAGTCTCCTGCGTGATCGCTGCCTTCCACGCCACTACACTATGACTGGAATGTTGAGACTACTAGATGACAGGCTTCGCAGTGGAGCTGACTGTTTCACCTCCGTGTGAAACGCAGTCCACATTTAGGTTGCATTTTGCCAACTGTCCACCCACAATTATTCATAGGTGTGTGTATGCTTTAGTAGGGCTTTTCTTGCAGCCTCGAGCACACAATTCAATCATTTAATAGTGGTTAAACCACGGGAATTTTGACGATCTTGATTCATGCGCTTTGGCATGTCGTGCACCGGTGTTGCATGGGTGTGTAAACATTCTGGCGTTTTATATTTTCGAATTTGCATATAAAGCCCTGCTACCTTGCTACAGCTTATTCATGATCAACTTGCTCCCCAACCAGCCGGTTAGTGGACCAATTCTAAACTCTTGGATCAAATCAAACTTGTGTATTTGTCGCATCATTTCTTCAACAATGCTGTACCGTGTCGAGTGAAACCTAATGTTACCAGATAAAACCTTACAAGGTGTATGGAGACTGGTGGAATCGCATCGTTTCTGCTCGTCTTCTTGGGCTCACATTACCTGAGTACTCTAATCATACTCAATTTTAGCTAGTATTGACTGCACTTCAAACTTTATTGCATTATCTGTCTATCACCTAACTTCTCTTTTGTTGTTCTTGCCTTCCTCCTCTTTCTCAGGTTCTCAGCACCTTTATTTACAACCTCCTAACAGTTAAATACATCGCTTACACCGTTGTGGCTCTCCTAGCCGAAGTAAACAGCTTTTTCCTCCACTCACGCAAATTGCTGCGGATGCGTGGGATCTCCTCCTCCAGTTCTATTTATCGACTCAATGCTGCGCTCAATTTGATCACTTTCGCTTGTTGTCGTGGCTATTGTCTGTACCGGGTCACATATGGAATATATGTGGAATCGGACAAACTATCCACCTTTTATCTGACCATTTTGTGCATCAGTATGCTCATCATGAACTTGATAAATCCGATGTTGTTTTGGATTTTGTTACGGAATGATTTCCTTCGTGTGCCCACCTCGTCCACTCGGGTGTCTCATACCACGTCTGGCAAGGTTCAGCGTGCAGTCTTCCCTCCATCTAGCATGGGTCGATCCGGTGGTTCTGTAACCTTCGAGCAGCTTCATGACAAATCTGCAGGAAACGGCATGGTTCTGTCGGAGGTTGGATTCACTTAACGATTGCATTTGAGGTGTATTTTACTGTCGTTTGCTTCTAACTCCGTGTGCCATCCCGTCTCGTATGGACGAAAATAAAGCGCCTCTATTTTCGTGGTGGCCCGCTTACCTTCCTCCTTGTCGGTGGTATATCCAAGTGCCTTTCGGATCGTGATGTTTTTCCTTTTTGATGTTGGAAGCATCTTCCACATTCGTTTCGATCTTGGTGGCTTTTTAGCCCCAGAAATGATTTTTTCACTTGCGGCAGGCATTCCTACTTTTTATTTCTGTCTTGTGCATTTTGTTGTGATGACTTTCCACGAAAACGTTGACACACTCAGGGGTGAATCACTTCGTTCGCATCGTGGTGCTTTTTGTAAACCGATTCATATCCATTGTTGTGAAATAACTACCTTCGACTTTTACTTAGGAGTTTGCACCTACCAGCTTCTCCCTCTGAATATTTTAGTCTTTTCTGTACTTTGGTTTTGGAACCTCATTTTCAAACTCTTGGTACCGGTTCTTTTGTGTACATAATGACATTACCTTTCATGAGTGCTTTGCTGTGTACGCTTCCACCAGAGTTGCCATGTTTGTCGACTTCTCTTTAACCTTTTTAATAAACTATTCATAATTGATTGACAGGGCCTACTCAATGTTTCTCATACTTGGTGTCAGGACCGAAGTAAGTCATCTGGTAATTGACAATCATGCTGCGGAACCCAATTTGCTCACCGAGGCTCCGTATTGTGTGTTATGTATGTCTGCAGCAGACTACTTCGGTGTGCGTTACTTGCTCCCACACTGAGTAGTTGGAGGAAGTCGCAAGAAGTCCAGTTGGGGATACCACCCCAAGGCATAAAGTGGTTTGCCTGGTTAGTGCTTTTCGGCTTTCCATATGCGGTCTTCTGCCTCAGCCACCTCAGCAGTTGTTATGGTGCGATCACAGAACCAGTGGTGCTTTCGTATTCGTTCCTCCTTTTCGAACCATTATCCGTTGTTTCTGATGAGTGTATTGCTCCATTACTCTTGATTTGTTGTTATCACTTGCGTTGACTTGGATCAAGGCAGCTGAATCCACCGCCTCTCAGGGCTTGAATCGGTGAATGTACACTAAACCGGACTGAACTGTGCCGTACATTTGACTATGTGCGCGTGAACAGTGGGCCCCAACCCCACAGTAGTCCGCGTTAAGTTTTGGCCTAGTGGTTGCTTTGCATCCACATGAACCCGACTGCGGTCTACTGTTGTCCCCACCAGTACGTTCGGGGTGAATGAAGAGTTTTGAGTCTCAAAAAATATATATATATATATATATATATATATATATATATAAAGTTTTCTATGCTTTTGTTTCTCCACATTATCACCCTCAACCGCAACACACTTAATATAGCGGTGCTGAGACGTTTTTATCCCAGTGAAGAAATGCTCTTTTGATTGTGACCCTAAAAACTGCTTTACTCACGCCATTGTCGTTTTGGAAATGTTGGCTAGCTAAAGCTATTTTCTAGTTGGAAATAGATGAAAGTCAGGCGGGGCCAGATCTGGTGAATAGAGTGGTGGGGAAGATCCTGGAATCCGCAATCCCGGCTTGCTTTTTGAGCAGTTGAGAAGATGTAGGCTGGAGAATTGTCGTGAAAAATGACTCCCCTCGTCACCATTCCTGGCCACTTTTCTCGAACGTTTTCTTTGGGGCTTTTCAGCAGCTTACAATAATACTTTCCGATAATGGTATAATCTCTCCCAAGAAAATCCGCCGTCCCCACACCTCGGGAATCCCAGAAAACAGATACCATCACCTTGCTAGCTGACTAGGTAACCTTTGCCTTCTTTGGTGCAGTAACTGATGCATGCTTCCGTTGCTTTGATTGTTCTCATTCTGCTTGAAACTGGTGAATCTAGCACTCCTGCATAGTGTTGAATTGTGCGGGAGAATTATCGGCATCTGACTCAGAGAGCTCCAAATTGTTCTTTGATTTCACATGCCGAATGGCGCGCGGGGATCAGAAGACTTGGCATCTATCGAGCGGAAAATTTTTGTGTGACCTAGCTTACTCGTCATAATATTATCTACTCTCTCCTGAGGCATGCTGAACCTCTGCTACCTGGCAAGTTGTCAATCGCTAATCTTACGTGAGCCTATCCATCACAAGGCCACGATTTACTTTTATGATAATGGTTGATAAGCTCTCCTCTGATCTGCGCTCATCTGCACTACTCTTTTTGCCGCGTTTTCATTCTTGCACCCAGTGTTTACTTGTGACATACGATGGAGTATTGCCACTTCGGGCTTTGCTTTGCACTATCGAAATGCAAAGCGTTCATCCAAGACTGGCAGGGATCGCCTCCTGCGCTGACCGTTGGTGGGGATCAGGTAGAAGGCGTCCAGAAATTCAAGTACATGAGAAGTTGTATCAGCACCCTTGGGATCGAAGGCGAGATCACGAACCGTATAGAAAAAGCTCGAAGTGTTTTTGCTAACCTTCGCCATCTATGGCGGCGGCGCGACATTACTCTCGCCCTGAAGCAACTGTACGTTCGACCCTACTGTACCGTTGCGAAACCTGGCCCCTAAGATCGGCGGACATAAAGTGGCTAGTTACGTTCGACCACCGGTGCCTTTGCAATTTAGCTCACATCTGGTGGGAACACCGCGTGAGCAATGAGCGTGTTCGACGCCTTGTTTACGGCATAGGAAAAGGAAATGAACCGCTCAGCACCGTCATTTCACGCACCAAGCTCCGATGGCTCGGCCACGTGTTGCGCATGCCAGCCCACCGACTTCAACGAAGTGGGTTGTTTGCTCACCGGGGATGTGGGTGGAAGAAGAGGTGGGGTGGCCAAGCGATGACTTGGTCATGAGGATAGAAGGCCCTCACTTCTGTGCTGGCCTCGGTTGGAGCGTCTCTGCTCCCTGGTTAGGGTCCAAAAGACGGTGAACACGTTTGGCTCGATACACTTGCTGACATGGCAAAGGGCCGACCTCAATGGCGTTCCTACTGTGGGTTTCTTTGTCCTTCCCCATCCCTTTTAGCCTCCACTTATGATCTCATTTCGTAGCGCAAAACATAATAACTTTTCTTTTTGCCTAGTAGCCGGTTGCTAGCTTACCGGAACGATGCCTATCCGGCATGCAACTGTTGTATTTATTTTCCTTTTCCTCTATGTATTGCGGCACAGTAGCTGAGGTGTTTCCCACCTCTAAGTGGCATGTATAAGGATGATGCTGATAATATCTTGGTGGATTTCAAATGATAATGTTTTTGAGATAGAAACATTTAACCACTGCACGATGCTTCAATTCTACCAAATTGCAGATCCGCGTTCACTTAAAGCCTCTACTGAAATGAAAGTAAATGTGATAGCTAAATGAACTTCTCTGATACGAATTAGGAAAGTTAACAGACAATAAAAGTGCTTTATTTGACTTGTCCGATTATTTTCTTTCTGTGCTAGGCCCTAAACTGTTCATTCACCCCACATATATACTTGTTAGACTTCCAACAGGGACAATGCAGGACCGTCCACACCGTTTCCAAACTGCGTTAGACTGAGGTCACTATCTGTCGCTGTACTACCGAGTTTCATGCTCCATGCTTTCAGTATACTTCATGTTGCGATTAGTCGGTCTGGGAAGTTCATCAGATATCTGCCTCTTGCGCAACCTTGCATTTGAGATCCATGTGGAACTCGTTTAGTGCCGAACTCGGTAGACTGTGCTGGTGTATTTGAGATATCCAGGACCTCACTTGTGCTCCAGTTGGAGCCTCGGATTCAGAGAACCGTGCTCCGCAGACCGCTACACTACACAAGTAAATGGGGATAAATATGCACTTCACCGACACGCATTCCATTGATAACCAGGATTGCGAATGGACTCAGTTGACTATGTCAACGATACGCAAAGCTTTTGGGCTGTTGACCCCTTTTTGGTAAGAGCTCTCACGGCGGACCTCCTAAGATATTGTTGACCATGTGATTAGGCTTTGATAAACTGAAAATGAGGCGCAGTAAGCTGGAAACGTGCGTTACTGTACACTGGATTAGCACGGATGTTCAATAATGTTAGTAAAACGAATGATGTTGCATGTAGTTAGAAAAACCACGTACTTAGCCTGGAGGTAACAAGCTTGTCTCGTAATCTTGCGGCGCGATTTCGAATCCTCGTATGGGTGAGCGTCTTCGCGGTATACTCAGCCCGCGTGCGGCTGGTGATGGTCGCATGGCAGCGAAGTGCTGTTACGGCGTACAGCTGACACATCATTATTTTATTATCAATGTGTAGGATGAAATTGTTTCTGAATTGCGCTGACCCGTTTGATGTTCCCGAGGAAAGCTTAAGCCTCCTATCTACTTCAGCTTTAACTCCATCGTAGTAGTTTGTTTTTGTGTAATGCAAAAATGCGCTTTCGCACAGATGAGTTGCGACAAATGGGAGATTCACGGTGACAGCTGTCTTTTAATGCCATGAAATTCAATATCTTCACTGCGAACAGAAATCGCCAAAAAACCTCGAATTTCGTCATTTGCGTTGAATCTGGTTGTAAATTTGCCTTGCAGTGCTAGATTTACGTCATTTATTTTTTTCCATACTATCTGACTGGTAAGCAAGTCTTGCGCCAACCGCTTTGTGTCAATCATCCGGAAATGTAAACCAAATTGGTGATCCATGCAGAAAACGAAGAATTCCTCTGTGTTCAATTCTAAAATACGCATTCCATTTTGCCGCGGGAGATTCAAATTACTTCCGTGTGAACACTTCCAATATAGTAGTCATAAAATCTTGAACAATCGGTTGTTCAGAGGTTTAAATTTTATTGAAATTGATTATTTTCGCTGCCTCCGAGAACAGTTTGGAGATTGGGTTGCTAGTACCTGTCGATGAAGAATACATTAGCTGCTGGTGCAAGTTTTTCCAACGGTTTTTTGTTCTTTTCACAACCTTCCCTCTGTCATCGCTTTGGCACCATCATTCTAAATATCGATGCGGTTCTCTCGGAATGCTGTCGTGCATACAA